TTCTATACTGGGTACTGGAGGTGGTCTTGTTATTTACTCTCCATTATTAATGTAATGAGATTTGTATGCCTTGTTGAAAAGACTGTAGGTTGTGGAGTTAGGTGTGTTTTTCAATTTTGTCCTTTTGTAAACTGAAACCAAAACAGCTAGATAGTGGTTTCAAAGCCTGTTCTTTGCTTTAATTAGTGCTGTAGGTACAGTTCCCCATGCTGTATGATCTCACTGCTCTCAAATCAAGTAGCTAAAGGCAGTAGTTCAGTAAATGTATCAGTTAACTCTATTCAGGATGTTTAACATCCAAGCTCATTCATATATTCATTTTTTTATGTAACTCTTAAGCCAGACTGTGATGCTGATGAGTATTTTCACGTTATAAGTGGTAAAGTTTGTGTGATGTGCTCCCCCATCATCCCCAGCTTGTTTAAACAGGGTGATCAGCACCCAAAGTGCAGGCAGAGCTCTGCCTCAGGGCAGTGTACGAGTGGCCAGGGTGCAGGGAGAAGACTGGCACGAGCCCTGGGCAGGTGCCCTCAGCATCACATTGTGCTTCCATGTTGAGTCCTGCTACTACCACCTTTCCCTGCCAGACTGTGGCTCGAAGCTACATGGTGAGCTTTGGAAGGAGGGGGAGGCTCGGGGCTGTAAACAAAATCCCCAAATGCCCCAGACAAAAGACACTTAAATTGATTCATGATGTCTCAATCTGTGTCTCAGGAAAGGAAAAGGTGATGCAAGGCTTGTGTATCCAAGCAACTGCAGAGGCCCTGCTGTTGCCATGGGAGGTTTTATCAGTGAGGCAGTGGTTGAAATTGTCCTTTTCTTATAACTGAAGATTGCAGGGGGAAGGAGGGGTTTTCTAGACAGAGAGCCTGTTCCTGCAGAGAGTCAGCAAGGAACAGTCTGGAGCAGTCACACACACAGACACACAAAGGTCTGATCTGAACAGGAGTGACAGAACTCAGTTATTTCCAAAATATAAATATGAGACCCTCCTGAGGCTCTGCTTTTGGACTGATTTGTCCTACCATAATCAGGCTACAGACAACAAAGGCAGTATTTGTCCTGAATTCATCTGCTCTCTCCCAGTTAATCTAATACAGCAGGAATACTTACAGTGTCTTACCAAGCAGACTTATAAAAGCGAGGGTAAAATGTTGCAGTATGTCCTAAAGAGCAGATGCCCAACAAACATCTTTGTGCAGGAAAAGGAAACATTTCCTTAAACATCCTGCAGCAAACGTGACTGATTGAGCTTCCTTTTCCCTCTGCCTGTTGCATTTCCCTTCTTTGCACAGACAGGATCTAACCAGATTTGCAGGGTATGAACTGCAGGTTACTTTCAAATTCATAACTATGAAATGGTTCGTTTAGCAGGACAAAGGCCAAGCTGACAGACACCCTTTTTGCAGCTCAGCATGTGCACAGCAATGGGAGGGTGGCAAGGAGCTTTTGTTAATCTCAACCCAGCTGGCAAGAATGCTGTGAAATGAAGGCTTTGAAGACGTTTTTTCTTCATTTTTAAAGCTACAGTTTGTTAGAAAAGCTTGAAAATCTTGCAAAAAAGTAATCTGCAAAATATTGAAAGTCCTCCCTGGCAGTCATGTGACTTAGGCAAGTTTCTCCACTAGCAATTAGCCTGGACAGTTTCCTTTACCAGTCATTATTTTTGTGGGTTCTATTCTGCTGCATCTGTGAAAATGTTTTTCCCCAGCTTGAATACACTTTTCAAAAAAAATAAATGGTTGGCAGAAAGGATTAGGGTATTGGTCAGGTTGAGGCTGATCCAAGCAGCAGCAGGATTTTTTTGCCTTTTAGTTTAAACGTGTAGGAATTGAAAGCTTAAAAAGCTTCAAGCTTAGAGCTGTTCTGAAAATAGCTGGGGCTCACACTCCACTTCCTAATGTGCTCACATCACAAGACCAACTGCTGCTACTTGCTCTCTTTTGTCTGGGGTTCAGTGGAGAGCTGAGGTGCTGCCTGCTCTGGAGGGAGCAGTCCTTTCTTCTCCCCCAGGGGTGGCCCAGCTCTGCCCTCAAAGGTAGCCCAGGGCAAGGCTGCCCTTTGGGCACCAATGTCACTCACACCCATCTTCCTGAGCCCAAACAATCCAGTGTCTTCCACGAAAAAACAGCACCCCTGCTCAGGGATTGGTTTACATGGTTTTATTTTTATGAGAAACATAAATACAAAATAAAAATAGTAAACAAGTGCTATAGGCTTTTCATTGGGGTGAGGTTCAGGCCTGATCCTGAGCAGTTCCAAGCTTTTCAGTTCAGGTCCAGGTCTTTGCTCTTAGAAAACAAATCATAGGGCAAACCAGCTGACTTTTACCTCGAAGCCAGTGCTATTGGTAACAGTAACATCTGGGTTATCTTGTAAAGCACAGTGACAACTAAGCAGGATGAGATTAAATACAAAAACATTTTCAAAGATGGGCCCCACTTCCTGCAGTATTGTTGGGTGCTGTCCCACTGACCTCAGCAAAACCTTGTTCCACCAGCAGTGAGTTATTGTGGCAGGATGATGCTGTGTCTGGCAGCACATGCACAGGTAGCACTGGCTTCTTCCAAGAGCTCTTGTTGTGTAATTGGTTCAGATTTTGGTTACAAGAGGATCCAGCCCTGCCATGACACAAAGAAACGTATCAAGAAGTTTGGCTTGTTGAAGAAAATTCCCTTCTAAGGTGTAGGTTTCCCTCCCTCTACCACAGACACCAGTTTTGGTTCGATTTGAAATTCTAGTGCAGCACTGTCCAGAAAGATCTAATCTTTCAGACAGACCCCAAATTCTGCAGCACTTCTGAAGGCTCTGCTCTACAGAGACGTGCAGACACATCTGTCAGGGGGGTTTAGTTCTTTAACTGGAGACCAAAGAGCAAGGTCCAGGATTTGGGCTGATATCTGCTGGACATCAGAGAGCTCTGAGTGAAGGTGTAGTGTGTCTGTGGGCTGGGTGACAAATGCAGTTGGACATTATCATTTAAAGTAAAAAATAATCATGAAACAAATAAAGGCACCAAACCACATAGCAAGCCAACTTTGGTAGATTTCTTGCAAAATATATGCATTTAAATACATTTTTACAAGGTTTACAAGGTTACACTGTTTAAAAAAGTTGAAATGATGAAATATGGAATATTTCATTCTTGTACCAAAACTACATATCACATCATAACAAAAATATTACAGCTTTTATTTAAATGCAGGCAGTATAAGAACTGCACCTCTTTATAGAAAAAAACCTAACTGTAGACATATTGCTCTGCTTTTGTGTTCTCTGATGGGCTCAGACCCTGCTATTTATGTCTTAAAAAACTGAAAGCAGTTATCTTTAAAAGGGTAAATCATGTGCTCAATATTCAACATCACAATTTGCAGGGGCAAGGCTTTAGTCTCTCATTCTGGTCTGTGAACATGTTGATACCCCCGGGGTTTTAAGTTTGCTAAGCAAGGCAGGAACACAGTCCATGTCAATCTGTCACAGACCCACAGTTATGATTAGTCCACCAGTCTCGGAGATATCAGAAAGATAAGAGTTAATGCTCAGGTCAGGTGTGCACTGTACTGCTACACGACTCTGAGGGACCCATGAGGTTGTAGTGTTGTGTTCTGAGGAACAGAAACAGCACATTTCCTCACTGGCTCTTGGCAGAAATCTCCTTATGGCAATGCAGAGGCTGCCACGGGCGGGAGCAGGATCCTGTGCTGATGTACAAGTAACTCCTGTGGAGGAGTTTCACACATCCCCCTAACCCCTCCCTTGAAAAAACGTTTGTCTCTGCAGTGTAAAATGGAAAAGTGTAAGCTGGTATTCCGGGCTGTGGCAAATTTCTGCAGGTGTTGAGCTCAGAAAATTAGAGTTATGTTGCCCGATGTGTCTTCCTTCCAGTCTGCAGTGTGTTACCAGGCAAGGCACAGGAGCTGAGAGCTGTGAGAGCCAGGACTTCACATCTCCTGATCAGCTGACATAAAGTCTCAGTCAAGATATTTTTGGTAAAATTCTTCTAGCAATTTTTTGCTTGATTTGGTAAATGAAGGAAAGCACGTGTTAACAAAATCATCGTGGGGAGCCAACCAAGTGCACGTCCAACTGAGCACACAATTCAAAATTGGCAGCAAGCGGGGCTTGGCAAGAAGGCCACAAAAGCATCACCCCCCCCAACCATCAGTATCTGGGGCAATTTTTATGCTTCCAGTCTCCTGTAGTGCAGATGAGAGGAGCAGAGGCCCTGCTGGAGCCAGGACATAGAGTGATCTCCCAGATCTCTGAATCTAGGCCTCGGATAATTCTGGCAATGAGTTCATATTCAAGTAAAAACAGAGCATAAGCTGATGGAGGAGAGGAGATGAAGAACCTCAAGGGGCAACCTGGTGTAATCTGGTTTGTACTCCACTAAAGGACAGCAACCACCTGAAATCTCTTTCAAGGTCTCAAAGACACACAGACCAACTCACTTCTCTGAGGGACTGAAACAAATGAAGAAAGTCAAATACCTTTCTCCAAACAACAGCGGGATTAAGGATCAAGGTTAGTGCCATGCTTTGGACAGGATCCCTAGTTTAGTTGCCCAAACAGAAGATCAAAACCCCCCTACTCAGTTAAAGCCGCAGCGGGAGCCGCCAGACGCGGGCTTTCAGGAGGGAGAACGCGGATGGGAATCTCCTCCTGGGCGACAGCGCACACCCGACGCCGGTCCCAGCCGGTCCCAGCAGCCGAGAGGCACCGGCGGCCGAAGTACTCACGAAGATCTCGGGGCATCGCCGGGGCACGGCGCGGTGAGCGGTTGGAGCCGGGCGGGCGGCGGCCCGGAGGGATGTCCCGTGTGCTGCCCCGCGGTGCCGCGGCCGCTCGGTCACCCCGGCCGGCGACGCGCTGCCGCAGCGAGCGGCCCGACCCGCCGGGCGCTGCCCTGCCCGGGGCCGCCGCTTCACGGGGGTGCCCGTTTTTGGAAGAGCCTCCGGGCAAAGGGGAGCGCGGGCGCTCCGGCGGGCCCGCGGCCGTGTGTCCGTGTCCCCGCGGGGCCGAGAGCGGCGCGGCCCCGCTCAGACGTAGTTCTTCTTGTCGTACTCGCCGTTGGACGTGGGCCGCCGCGGCGCCGAGTACTTGACGGGGAAGGAGGTCTCGTCGCGCTGGGAGCAGGAGCAGCAGCAGATGAGGCAGCCCCCGAAGAGCAGCAGGGCCGTGCGCGCCCAGCCGATGTAGAGCGCGGCCCCATCTCCCGCTTCTTGGACGGCGGCACGGTGTGGGTCGTAGAGTCGCTGATGACGATGTTTGCGAACCAAGGCAGAGCGGGACGAGCACCAGGACCCCGCAGAGGATGTAGATGGCTCCGCCGGCGATCACGATGCGGGATTTCATCTTGCCGGGCCGGATGCAGTTGGTGCACTGCGCGCCCACCACGGTCACCATCAGCGCCACCAGCCCCAGCAGCGCCACGACGACGGTGAGCGCCCGGCCCGCCTGCACCTCGGGCGGCAGCGCCAGGATGGAGTCGTACACCTTGCACTGCATCTGCCCCGTGCTCTGCACCACGCAGTTCATCCACAGCCCTTCCCAGATGGTCTGCGCCACCACGATGTTCACGTCGATGAAGGCCGACACCTGCCACATGGGCAGCCCGCAGGCCAGGATCACGCCACCAGACAGGATGCGCAAGCCCCAGCCCCAGGATCTCCAGCGCCGCCGGTAGTCATGCTGCCTGTGCCGGGGGCTCCGCGGGCAGGAACGGGGCGGGGTGCGACTGCGCTCCCCGCGCTGGCCGAGGCGGCTCGTGCGCGCCGCGGCCGCGGGCAGCGCTATTTGAAGGGGCCGCGGGGCGCCCGCCTCGCCCCGGCCCTGCCCCTGCCGGGCTGCACCGCCTGGGGCCCGCGGGGCAACGGGCAGGGCCGGGGGGGCGTGCGGGGGCTTCCCTCACACGTGCCGGTGGGGTCCCGCGTGAGCTCGGGAACGCGTCGAGCCTCTGCTCCGGAGGAGCTCGCGGCGCACGCTGGCCCGCTCCCAGCTCAGCGCGGGGCTGCAGGCATCTCTTCGCGGAGTCCATCTGCTCGAATTCCTTTCGGTGCCGTTATCTGTGTGTTTCCTATTTACTGATAAAGTCCGCAGCCAGACCTTCGGAGAGGTCTTGCCCCAACGCAGGCACCCAGCAGTGTGGAAGTCCTGCTTATCAGAGTCTAATTGATCATTTCCCAGAACACTAAGTGTGCTGACTGACCTGCACAGCTTTCTCCTGCACACTCTGACAGGCAACATTAAAAAAGCAGGACCAAACAGATTTCACAGATTATTCTGAGTTTGAAGGGACCCACAAGGATCATCAAGTCCAACTCTTAAGTGAATAGCCCATACAGGGATTGAACCCACAACCATGGTACTATCAGATGTCTGTACTTGAAGACAGACAAGCCCCACTAATTCTGACAGAAAAAATACCTTCAAAATACATTTTTTAACTAATTAGTCTCATATTCTCTACTTAAGTGAGATTTAAATAGATAACTAAAATACTGTGGCATTTGCCTACACCTTTGCTCATATTTCTAATGTTGCTCTTCCAGAATAAAATATTCACTTACAATGCTTAGGAATCACCCTGAAAATGGAAGAGCTTTGAACGTGGGATCTGCAGGTCACCTGTCAGTACCAGTAGACAGATTCTCAGTTTGGTCCAGGAAGAATAATTGCTCTTTGCTCACACCGAGTGTGAAACTTTTTTTTCTGATACTGGAGCCAAGAGCAAAGCATACCATTTAAATATGTCACCACAAAGATCCCAAACTTGACTTTACTCTTTTAATAGTTCGAGTACATTTTGAATCTTTATGGTATGTTGATGAGTTATGTGCCCATATCAAAAAGGGTGTATTTACAAGAGGTTTCATTGTCAGGCCATGCAGACATTGTAATTGCTACAGTCTCTTCATGGCCCACTGGTGTTTTGCTCTTGCAAAGCAGCCTTGGTTCAGTCCCTGCAGGCAGCAGCATGTCACAGCCCCCAAGGCTGGCAGGGAGTGCTCGTGGTGGGAATGCTGTGTTCCAGTCCAGAGAAAGAGAACCGACCCCACCAGCTGCTCACAGCACTCACAGGGAGCTGTGCCCCAGGGGCTTCCCACCGGGTGCCCTGAGAAAGGCTTGTTCTGATTGCAATAAGTTTAAATGTTTTAGACAAAACTGGAAGTTATGTTCACACTGACTTTAGAATTGGTTTGGCTTTTTGTGGATTTAGTTTCAACTAGCCCAAGGTACCCTAGCGTAGAGGAGATTGCAGAGTTTGAAAATAACACATTTCCTGCCCCTACATAAGTGGTTTTCTCTGTTGCACAGTAACTTACAGCATGTTTTGTGGCATGCAGAGGTTTGTGATGGAAATCTTGAGGCTGATATGAGTGCAGCATGAATGGAAAAGTCCACATGAGAAGCAGAAGCAGCAGAAGGAAGGATAAGCAAAGGTTACAGGAATCACATGGATTGCCAGCTGAGGATGTGCCTGCTGAGGTGACACGGGGCAGTGTCCCAATACATCCTGAGTGGTGACTCTTCTGCAGAAGACCCTGGCATAGTAACAGGAGGATGACAACAAGGTCACAGTACACTGGATGTGGCCTTTCACTTCTTTTTTTTTTTCCCAGCCAGGAGACAAGCTTTTAGCCACAGGACACCCAAAAAAAGGAAACCAAAGAACATCAGCAGCTTTGTGGACTGCGGTGTAGGACATGCTGACACATGACGACTGCAGCCTTCCATTGATTATCTCTGCAGGAGGAGCTGTAAACATTTCTAGCATGGAAAATGTCTTCCTAACAAAGACTGCCTGGCAAATGGAGTTCAGAGGATTTATCTCCTCTTCCAGCTGTATATGAAATACATACAGTTTACTTCAATTATTCAAAACTGCAAATTCCAGTGTGCAAGTTCAGGAGGAATGTGTGACTGGGGCTGTGCAGTCTGTCAAACTGAGGCTGCTTACAATCACTCAGAAGAGTCCCTGGTGTCAGGGAGGGGAGAATGTGCAAAAGAACCATCCACAGAGACAGAGATATCTCAGAGGTGAACAGGAAGAAACCCAGAGCACAGACTGAAACGGAATAACATCTGTATTTATGATGATAATAACGATTATATAGAAAACGGCACAGAAGAACAATCACGAAAGGGGGGAGAAATGCCAGTTATCTTAGCCCACAAGCACAGGAAAGCCCCACCCTTGCCACTCGCCCGGGAGCACGGAACTCTGAATTTCCTCCGATAAATGGCCTGTGCCGCAGGAGGGAGGCACTGACGGGGCCGGGGCAGCTGCCCGGGCCCTGGGGCTGAGAAGGGAAACTACTGCAAGGCTTGTTTTACCTCTGCAGCCCTCACCCCACCTTTCCTTGCTACCTGTAACCCAGCAACTGATTCCTACAAATCACTTAATCCAAGGCAATTATTTCTCTGGGGAAATGCACACTTAATAATCACACAGCAACTGGACCTTTCTGCTTACAGGCATTTCCCGTGCTGGTATTTCACCTTTGTCTGTTTGTTCCTTTTCCTTACCCCAGATATTAGCTTTTATCCTGGTTACTGGCAGCAACCTCCATTTTCAATTATTCCATTCCCTGATCCCAAAGGTCTGTTGCACAGACCACCTTTAATGAGACCAGGGTGCAAGGTGCTCCCCCTCTGCTCACTTCACTTACTGCTACCTTGACTGACTCAGGCTGGGGGGCCTGAGGACCCCACCAGCTCCAGCACAGCTGCTTTGTGATGGGTGTAAGTGTCACAACACTGAAAATTAAACTCTCAGAAATGAAAGGGTTCTATTTGTTAAAAGGAAACACACATCAGCATGATGTTTTCCTTGGGATGTTAAGTAAAGAAAATCGCTGCTTATAAGTTAAATCCTTGCTGCAAAAGTCTGGATTCCTTTAAACTCCAAAGCACAATGTTCTTGCAGCAAAATAACTCAAACAAATGACCATTCATGTAATTCCATCTATTTCTGCTCCAGCTGTGTATTAATTAAATTATTCTGGGGGGATGCTTAGAGGGGCTTTACAGCCATGAAAATGGGCGGAAGTGGTATTCAAGCTGGGAACAATTGCACAGGAGCCATGCTATAGCAAGAGGGGCTTTGGGATTAGAGGTGATTGTGTTTTTGCTCTTTTCCTGACATAATCAGGACAAATACCAGGCTCAGAGTAACTGGGAGGGCTGCTAAGGGGGGTCCGGGCTCTCCCCACATTGCTTGTCCTGGGGTATGAACCCTGTCCCATGGCACAGAAGTGCTGTGCCCTCCAGCCTTGCCAGGGCTGTGCTCAGCCCCAAGGCATCCCACCAGCAATGCTGGCATAGATTTGCCTTTGGGCACCTGAAATGTAGTCTGCAGAGCACACTTGGTTTATGACTTCTGGAGTGTCCCTTACCCAAGTGTTTCTGCTCCTTCTCATCCCTAAAATATTAAGCATCTAGAAGACAGAGAGGAAAATGACATTTAGGATCAAACTTATGCACAAACCTAGTATTGTTTGTGTGAATAAGATGGAGTGTGAGTCAAAGGATTAATTGAAAGCCCAGTGATCTCGAGAGAGCTTACCATAACTTTTGGATCAGACATAAGCAAAGGTGAAGAATTAGAAATCCTATTAGAGATTGATTTTGTGCCATATTTTGTATTCTAATTAGTGCTGGAATAAAGGCAAAGAGATTTACAAATACAGAGTGGTTAGGCAAGGGCTGTTCTTTATTTAGAAAGCTTGAGGTTTCTCAGTGAAGATTACTCCTTTCTGAATTATCCTTTAAACTCTAACTCTTTTCCTAAGAGAAGAGATTTAGTTGGAGTTTGAGTGCACATTCCACAGTAAGATAGGGCTGCAGGAAGTCCTTGCATGTCAGCAGTGCCAACGTGTCTTCAGACCAGTGTTACACATCAGAAGACTGGCACACAGGAATGAGTCCTTGTCAAATGAGCAGGTTATTACAAAATGAAAGTGCACAATTTCACCATAGTACCTATGTAAAGATCATTTATTTTGGAAACAAGCAGAAGTGGTTTACATGAAATTGTTACTTCCTCTCTTAGATCATCTTTTGAGCAAAGAGAAACAGTGATTTAAAAGTCAGGCCAGAATTTTGCAAGAGGAACCAGTAGTGCTCCATGACTGGTGCTAATGATGAAGAATCCAACACTTTTTTTAGTACAAGTGTTGCTGCTGCCCTTCAGGATTGGGAAGTGGGTGCCCACGCTGCTGTTCCCCCTCAGTGGTGATGTGACAAGGCTCAGGTAAAAGAAAAGAAGGAAACAGATACATAGTTGGGAAAGTAATGAAAGAGGTGAAAAAGGCTTCCAGCCTTCATATATTTGCTTTGTATCCCTTTCCAAACAGTTGCCCCAGCCCTGCTTTACACACCCCCTCTGCCTGGAGGCAGCAGGAGCCTGGGTCTGGCTGGGCCACACGCGGTGGGAGCACTGAGACAGTGTTACAGCACTTTCCTCACAGAACGAGGGAATTAATTGTGCTAAACCATCATCAGGACCAAGTTCCACACCTTCCTACTTGAATTCCTCTGCACATGAACTTCTCGATCAGCATTTGAGGCTTCCCAGTGTTGGAATTATCTCCGTGTCTCTGTGTTCTAAGAGCAGGCCCTGCTGGGAACCTTTCTGTCACCCCAGTCAGGACCAGCTGGGCTGCACTGGTGAGGAGCTGT